ATCGGAAGAAGATATGCAAATTACCACCGAATTTACATATCTTCTTTTGAAAGTAAAATGTAGTCTAGATGTGCCCTAAGCGACCACTCGAGTAGTCGACTACCCGGTAAGTTTAGGCTTATCCTCTGGAGCGGAAAATCAGGAGCTGGTGCTGGCTTTACATTTTAAATGTAGCCCAGTGGGCTCTTACTATATTTAAACTGCAGAGCTGCAATGGTACCAGAGCCGGTGTGAGCAGGGACTACTTAATTCAGGCTTGCGCTGCCCCCGGAAGCTAACCCCACTGTGACTCTGAGGTTTAAATGTAGTAAGAGCTGGGCTGCCTGCACGCCAGGCTCCTTCTACATTTAAACTGCAGAGCCACAACGGGGGTAGTGAGCGCCCCTGCCATCAACTAATCGAGTAGTCGATGGAAATTCTATCAACTAGTCAATTAGCTAATAACCACTACTATTTCAGACACATTAGTAATTTTGGTAAATGTAATATATCAATGAATTCAAATATGAAAATGTAATGCACATATTTCCACTGCAGCTCTTTAGAAATCAGTTACACTTTAGTTCCATGCCCAATTGCTTTAATTATAGCTATTTCCCCCGAGATAGAAATTTTGGTATAATCCTAAATGTTTTTTTAAAGCCTACTGTACTTTGCTGTGCCAGTCCTACACAATACCTAAATGAATGCTAAAATGCTTCCTACCATTTATATTTAAAGAAAAATACAGGATTGAAAAATATTTGAGGAAATACAAGAAATGTAATTTTCTATTCATCTATTCAACACGCTGTAAAACAACCTGAGAGGAATGATTAGAAAATGGCATAAATATTGGCAGAACAAATTCAACTTGCCCTTGAAATAGTTCAGCTGTAAAACCTATAAATAGAAAGTACAGAAAGAGAGATCTTCTGTACTGTATTTTTTCTCGAAGTTATATTTATTATTAATGGACCTAATTTTTCTTTCATCTTATGCTTTCCATAACCCATTAGTAGCTCTGTGAAGTTCATTTCCTTTACTGTATTTCTATATTCAAGGGCAGCTGTGACAAATTTGCTGCATCCCAGCAGAGCACTTGACAATGCTATGGTTTAGTGGAAAAAATAGCCACTAGTAAGGGTAAACAATGAACGACATAATGGGGTAACTAGTGCTAGCATGACAGAAATTTTTGATATCTCTAGTGGATGTTAGTAACTTGGATCAGTTTATAAGGTAAGATCTGTGTTTAATTTAAAACAGGAAAAACTTAAAAAACAACTAATAGTCTAGTGGCACCTTAAAGACTAACAAAACATGTAGATGGTATCATGAGTTTTCGTGGGCACAACCCATTTCTTAGATGACCGGAGTGTTGGAAGTCCAGATCCAAGAATAAATAAGTTAAGTGGGGAGGAGTGCTGGGTGTGGAGAAGGACAAAAAATGGAGACGAGGAAGAAAAAGGAGACAGTGAGTAGATAAGCTCAGGTGCATACTTGACGATACAGTACTATTAAATGACGGACAAATTTGCACCAAACCTACCCACTACACTTACCTTCATGCCTCTAGTTTCCATCCCAGACACATTTCCCAATCTATTGTATACTGCTAAGCCCGAAGATAAAAACGTATTTGTTCCAATCCCGCAGACAGAGACAAACACCTACAGGATCTATGTAGAGCATTCTTAAATCTGAAATATCCACCCGGTGAAGTGAAAAAACAGATCGACAGAGCCAAAATAATACCCAGACATGAACTACTTCAAGACAGGCCCAGAAGAGAAAACAACAGAATTCCACTTGTTATCACCTAGGGTGCATCTAGACTACAGGGTTTTGTCGACAAAAGTGGACTTTTGACAACAAAACTATGCCTGCATCTACACTGCCGCTGAGTTCTGTCGACATAATGTGGACAGAACTCAGCAGTTTTGTCGACGGCGGTAAACCTCATTCTACGAGGAATAACGCCTTTTGTCAACAGAGTTCTGTCGACAGGATGCATTATTACATCTACACTGTCCTTTGCGTCTACACTGTCATGTCAACAAAGTAGCTTGCTTTGTCGACAGAACTGGATGTAGTCTAGACATTCTTTGTCGACAGAAGCTTTGTCGACAGTATCTGTCAACAAAACTTCTGTAGACAAAAGCCTGTAGTCTAGACGTACCCCTACAGTCCTCAACTTAAACCCCTCCGATGCTTATCAACAATCTACAAGCTATCCTAGAATATGACCCCTCACTCTCAGAAGCCTTGGGGGGAAAGGCCAATTCTCGCTTACAGACAACCCCCTGGCCTCAAACAAATTCTTTCCAATAACCATGCAACACACCTCTGTCATAATCATCCAGGAACCCACTCCTGCAATCAGCCCCAGTGCCAACTCTGCACACACATCTATACCAGTGATTTCATCACTGGACCCAAGGACATCAGCCACCAAATCAAAGGCTCATTTAACTGCACATCCGCTAAAGGGATCTATGCCATCAAATTCCAGCAATGCCCCAATGCAATGTATATTGACCAAACTGGACAATCTCTACAGGAAAGAATTAATGGACACAAATCAGATATCCAAAAAGGCAACACACAAAAACGTATTGGAGAACACTTTAATCTTCCTTGGCACTCATTAATGTATCTCCAAGTCGCTGTTTTGTTTCAGACCAATTCCACAAGCCAAATACACAGAGAAGGACTGGAATTTAACTTCATTCACAAGTTTAATTCTCATGCAAATGGCATGAATTGTGATATCAGATAGCTCGCACATTATCAACCAACTAAACAATGAAGGTGCTAATAGTTCTTGATGTCTGGGTAGAATCTGGTGTTGGTCATCTTCCTTTCCAAGTGCAAACTAATTGTTCTTATCAGCCTCTTGTAACTATTTAGTCTTTAAGGTGCTACTAGACTATTTGTTGTTTTTTAAGTCTTTCCTTTTACAGACTAACTCCACTACCCCCGATCTTATCTGCTTACTGTCTCTTTTTTCTTCCTCCCCTCCATTTTTTTCCTTCTGCCCCCCTCCCTTCTTCCCTTATTTATTCTTGGATCTGGACTTCCAACATTCCGGTCATCTGAAGAAGTGGGCTATGCCCACGAAAGCTCATAATACCATCTACATGTTTTGTTAGTCTTTAAGGTGCTACTAGACTATTTGTTGTTTTTTAAGTCTTTCCTTTTACAGACTAACTCCACTACCCCCGATCTTATCTGCTTACTGTCTCTTTTTTCTTCCTCCCCTCCATTTTTTTCCTTCTGCCCCCCTCCCTTCTTCCCTTATTTATTCTTGGATCTGGACTTCCAACATTCCGGTCATCTGAAGAAGTGGGTTGTGCCCACGGAAGATCATGATACCATCTACATGTTTTGATAGTCTGTAAGGTGCTACTGGACTATTTGTTGTTTTTTAAGTTTTTCCTATTACAGACTAACCCGGCTATCCCTCTGAAGTAATTTAAAACTCTCCTACATACAAGCATAATCCACAGTTGTTAACTGAGCTACTGTCCTTCAGGATCATTCTATCGAGGAGAGAATATATTATTCACCATCTACAAAAAGTTTAGAACTTAAGTTTAGTTCAGAAAAGATCCGAAGGTTTGAATCCCTATTTATAGCTGATCCAAAACTCTAGAGTCTATGACACTGGTTAGTCATTTGGCAAGAACAGTCAAGTTCCCCAAAGCTGGGAATTTCTGCCCCAGGCAGAGTGGAAAATGTCCTAAAGAAGAATATTCTACTTATTTGGAGATATTTCACAGGATTCTCACTCCTGGATTTCAAGCTTCCATCAAATCAGTGAAGCACTGAGATGCAAGAGAGAGAGAATCAAAACTTAACCATGTTATTCTGACACCTTCACCTCTCTGATATTAGAATTTTCCCAATGTGGCAGGTGAGTTTGACTTTTGCACAGAAAGGGTGCAGAGGTTTCTTTTTATTTTAAAAAGTTCTCTGGTGTCTGGGGTGTACAGCAACTCCTAGGAACAAGAGTGTGCCAGACTGATGTGGGAAATTAACACTTGAAATATATTGGGTAAACTTTTTTCTTATGCAGTTAAATAATTTCTGATTAGAGTTTGCAAAATAATGGCTAGACTCTGGAAGGTGTTGAGTACCCTTAACTCCTACTAGCTTCTATGATAAGTTAAGATGTGCAGCATGCCCTGGATTTGCTCATCACCTATATTAACTTTACAAAGTGAAAGAGCGATAAGTGAGGTAATTTGGAAAAAGGAGGCAGAAAGGAACAGAGAAAGAAAATAGACAGGCATGGGCTAAAGGAAAATCTCTTAATTAAACCACGCAACAACACTACAAAGAGATAAAAAAACCCAAACCCCAATCTAAAACACAACTAGGAAACAAAGTGAGAAGACTATTAATAAATCTACAAACATAAGAGAATTATTTATATAATGTCATCCAACAAAATAGGCAATGCTTTTTCCTATTCTCATGCCACTACTATAAAGAATACAAAAAGTCTGATCTAAATAAAAACAGAGTGTCTACTACTTCGTAAATTTCAGTAATGTCCTGAGGCTATTTTTTCCACCTTCTCATCCAATGTTTAATTGCCTGACTGAAGTAAAGCTAAAAAAATAACATTTGACCGTGTTTTTGAGGATTTTTGTAGGAATAGAAAATGTGACAGGTCAAATCCTGGACAGACTTTAGCCGACTATTTCTTTTTTTCACCTGAGTTACAGGCTAGAGATCCTGCTGTAGGCTAGCTGTTTGCATTCATACCAATTTAGAAACCCCCATTTACTGAATTCCACTGGAACCATGGCTGCCTCTGTTCAAGAGAAGACATGGCTGCTTTAAATCTGGAGCTCGGTGCACCTTTTTCAGACAAGGAGAAGAATTAATTTTTCTTAGCAAAATAACTAAGGATAATCAACATGAGAAACCACTCGTTAAAACCTTTTAGAAGTCAATTGCTATATCTATGTATATATCTCTTAACTAGAACAATCAAATATAGGTGGATACTATTAAGTTCTGTATGTCATGCATATAAATAGGAGTCAGTCATTTTGTTAGTATGAAAATAGATGATGGCTATGCTCAGTTAAATGTTGTGGCCTTTTGAAATCTTATGGAGGAACCTGCCTGCATTGATTTTGCACGTGTTGCGGTTGCAGCTGCTGCTTGAAGACCTAAACCCAGTGTCCACCGTGACTGTCAGCCTCCGACAGACTAAACACCCGCCGTCGTCCTTTCCTGCCAGACCTTACTAGAGGAAAACACAGCGATATATCATTCAAAGGCTTTAGCAACAAAATGGAGAAGGGAAACTTGAATGGACACAAAGGATAAATATTAGAGTATCAACAAGAATAAGTGACAGTGACATATTCATAACTGCTGGTATTCTGAGTGGTCTCTTAAATCATATCAAGAGCTTTGTATGTTAGGAAAATATGTCTGAAGGGTATGTATATTGTTGCCTACAATATATACATAGCTGGAGATTTACTTATGGCATTTAGGGCCAGATTGTGCAATTCTGACATCAGTTGAACTCCCACTGAAGTTACACTGAGGCAGGATTGGTAGACTTTTACATTGCAATCTAGTAGGACACTTTAAAAATATTCAGCAGAAGCAATTATCTAGAAATGGTGGTGTGATAATAATATTCTGATTCCTCAGCAGCAATAAATTACATGATAGCATGGGTTCTCCTGCCAAAAGGATATTTTGGATAATCCAATATTTCTACTCAAAGACATGAAACTGAAATATTGCCCTTGGATTGTCACAAAACCAAGGGCAGTATTTTAAAGAGATATCAAGGGACAACCAGCAGTTAAGAAAAGAGAGACTGCTTAGCACATATATAGGGTTCTGGAAAAGAAATTTGGGTTAAACAAAAGTATTTTTGTACCTAGTCAACAGAGAGGATAACTAGCATAACAAAACTCAAACAACACTACAGTTAGGTTACTGAATCACAAATGGAAGGGACAGAGAAGGTGTCAGCACAGTGGCATGCATTGGTTTTCTACAGGATCCCAGTGCTCAGAATTTTGGAATCTATCACCTCTACAAATTAGAATGCAAATCACCCAGCAACAAAGGACTAGTCTTTCCATATTATCCATTCACTTCCAAAGCTACATCTGTCCCAACTAGGAGTATAGTATGTTGTAAATGGAATACAAGAAGGGAAAACCTTCCTAAAATACCCAACATTAATTGCTTAAGTGCTGGGCTTATATATCTCCACCGTCTGTTATCATCCCATAAATACTTTCAGACCAGCTGCATTTTATGACTTCACATAGTTTTAAAAATTCTTAATAAAATGCTGTGTGGCAATGAAAATATACCGAACGCTAGCACATGAATTTTGTAGACGTGTAGAGCTTCCCCATTCCACTTACCATACAGATATGAGCACCACACACTTTTCAATTAATACCAAAGGAGCTACATTGTAAGTTTAAAAAGCACAGTGAAGTAAGTATGACTAACAAGAAAACATTTTCATCTTATACATAGCAACTATTCACATGGGCATGTTACTTCAAGGAATATCAGAGTATAACATATAAAAAAAAACCCTGCTAGCAATACATGTGACTTGTTTTG